ATACTCTTGGTCTGCTTGTACAACTCAGGGTTCTTGGACAGTTCAATCAATCCTTGGTGGTATTCGAACACCAAAATCGAGTCTTTGTCGCTGAGTATACCAAGCTCGCTTGCAAACTTCTTCAACCAGATCGCTTTTTAGGCTGAATCGGACTACTTCACGCATTATGCTTCCGTCGATGAAAGTGCACTGATTGTTGATTCTGTAAATGCCAACTCACGCAGCTACGATTGAGCGCAAAAACGCATCCACTTGTTCTGCGACGCGAATTGTGATCGCCAGACCAGTCGGTATCCGAATATACGTGAAGTCCGTTATCTTGAGCTTCATCGAAGCACTTGCAAAAGACAATTCCGAGTGTTGCCATCGGCTATACGTATAGAAACACGCGCTTTAGTGTTTGCCAATGCGTCGGGCACGGATAGGATGCAAACTGGCTAAAAACTCCCACTGCAGATGAAAGATCAGGTCGAGTCGCGATCATGAGATACATCAAGCATCCAACTGTTTGGCGGTACAGCACGTTATCCTTTGACTATTCGTGTTTGCATCCGCCTTCGCACATCGACTTTGTTAGATATAGACCTGGGTCTTGCGGAGTTTTTACAGACTTACAGTTTTGCATCCCGAACTTGGCAAAGATCAACTACAGAAACTTTGACTGCCGGACGTACAATGTGACAGAATCGTGATCGCGGTCGATTTTACTACCGGGGCAAAACTTGAGCTTGCTCAAATCCGATATCTCGAAGCGCTTGTCGAGTGCGCTCTTGATCTACAAAAGTAGTGCCGCCGATTCACACGCAATAATGAAGTCGTCTACGTAGAGCACGACAAACATCAAATTGCCTTCGTCGACTTCGTTGACTTTCCGCATGACGTTTACTCAGTGGTCGACTTTTCATTTGTCGAAATCGCATCTGATCATGAAGTCGTCGATGGTCTTGTTCCACATTCGCTTTGACTACTTTAATCCGTAGAGTCACTTCTTCAACTTGCTGACAAAGTCGACGAGACACCTTGCATCTTCATAGCCATCGATTTGCTTCATGTAAATATCTTCGTCCAAGTCGCCGTTGAGAAATTGCGGTCCTGAAGTCCATCTGATGTCCATGCAAGTCTTACTTGGCGGCGAGTGCGAGCACAAAACGGATCGAGGTAAACTTTGCGACTGGCTCAAACGTTTATTCGTAATATATGCCGTACTTCTGCGCAAATCCCTCAATCACGAGTTGGGCTTTGTAACATTCAACTTCTCAATGCTAATTTTGCTTGACCGTGAACGCCCGATTATATCCGATCGGTTTGCGACCATGGGACAACGGCACGATATCTCAATTGTCGTTCTTCATCAACGAGTCGTATTCCGATTCGCACGCGTACGCCACCTGTTCGCTTCATAGGATTCCAATGCAGAGGCAAATGTTGTCAGCAAATCTCCCACTGAATACAAGACGTGAGCAGAGTGCGGTGCCGACAGGTAGATTAACGACGATGTCGTCAGCAAAGTCGAAGCATAAAAGCGTTCAGGCTGCGGAGAATTGGTCACCTCTTCAAGCGAATGGGAGCGACTGTGACGCCGCTGATGTGGTCGGTGCCCCCTGGCAAATCTTCTTTGTCATCATCAGGAATGGCGCTGTTCTCAATACCTGACCCTAAGTCGAAGTCTACGTCTGTAGTGATCCGATCACTTTCGGCTAGGCCTTCGTTGACACACCAGTCAATGACGCGCGAACTGTTGTCAAACACAATTTCTGAGAACGTGGCGTCGCGGCTGACAAAACGCGACTCCTTGCTATGTCTTCAAATCCATAAGCTTTCTCGTACTCGGAATAACCAATAAAATGACAGTGAAGAGCGCTAGCGCCGAGGTTTTGACGATTCGGGATGGGCACGTGAACGTATGCGTGACAGCCGAAATTATTCAAGTTCGCAAGCAGAGGTGCTTACCACTCTCATGCAATTCCCCCCAGGCCATACAGACGTACAAGCGCTTGTCCGACGGATGACCCTTGCGACCACACTTCTGGCAGGTCGGTCTTTTCCAACACCTTCGACTGTCATGTTTAATCGATTCACGATGGGTGCAAGATCTTCTTTAACGCACCCCACCTCCACGTATTTTTCATTGAGAAGGGGGCTCGCACCGCTCGATTCAATTATGACGGCATCGGATTTGTAGGGTTGGCCGATCGATGGTGGAACATTACCAATTCAACCGACGCTTTAATAATTTTTTGTTTCTATCGACTGATAAGCGCAAACGTTTGTTGTCGTCGGCGTCTGTAACCGCAGTAGAGTCAACTGTTCTGCTAAATCACGGTCTCATAGTGTCGAAATAAATGTCCCGCGTGTCCTCAACGCGTGGCCAAATTTCTATCTCGAATCGCGATCTTAAATCTTACCGCCGCGACGTTCTGCCGATATTAGTATTCCAGAGGATTTTACGTCCGATCGCTTCCGCGCGTGGCAATATTGTCAGGCCACCGTCACACTATAACCTCCGTACTGGTCCATATACGATTTCAGCAGAGACTTCACTGTACGGCGAGTAGATTGACTCAGCTCACTGTACTAGTTTTGAGCTGGTATCTTCCGTCGATCGTCAAACACTACACATTTCTCTTCGTCCGGCGCTCGACCACGCATTAACGCTGACTTGTCATTGGTATAGTAGCTTCTTGCGCGGTCTTCATCTCGGTCCCTGCCTTTGTAATCATTCTGTTCTGCGTTCGCTGAGACCCGAATGCGCTGTGGAAGTATCCCACTACTCGTTGAAGATTCTGTACATGCGAGTAATTGACGTCTCAGATCCTCTTGCCCTAAATCGACCGTGATGCGATCCTACTGATTCCATCTTTATATCAAGAATACATGCATCTTTAAATCTTGGTATCTTGACTGTTTTACTTTGAAAAAATGCCTAAAATGCTTGATTTCTTTGCCCTTGTTGCTATCGCTCTATGTCAGTACCAAAGTATGACTGCAAATGTATTTTAATAATCGATGCCCCATATCTTTTGGTGTATATGGTCTTAGACCGCGATTCGACCTTGTTCCCTTTTGGCACGATCAAGCACTTTTGTGGTTGAGCGAAGCTAACAAAATTGCTGATGTGATCCTGCGTCTCCACTGTCGCCCATACGACCGACTTTCGAAGGGGGTACTACATTTCCATGCTTGATTCCTTCCCCACCTTGTATACCCGTCTGTAGGGCGGTCTGGACTCTTCTCGGTGGACTCGTGTCGATGTTAAACTTGACCATGGTTGGGACTGGGGTGATCGCGTGGAAGTTTTCACGCGATCACAGGCCACTTGATAGTACTCGATATGAACTATCTCGATCTCAACGAAATTTCCTTGTCCAGTATATAGATCTTGACCCGCTTGACATTCTGACCACTTGAGAATCCTTGCGATCTTGATTATCCTATCATTCTTGATACGCTCTGTCGCAGTTGCTGTATTGTTTGTGAGAGTCCTGAACGCACCTGGCCACACAATCCAGGTGCGACACTTGTATAGGCGATCGGCGTAACTCTTGATTTTGTCGGGGGCCAAAGATCCTGCCCGGAAGAGATAACGCGTGAATTTTAACGTAAATTAAACTTTGGTTAATGTTAGCCAACCAATTGCTAAAATTTTGACCTCTCCTATATATGCAACAGACAGTACCCACGCGTCTTCAAATGAACCACTCTGTATCTTGTAACTCGTAGGCTCCTTGTTTATCCCCTACCCCTGATTTAGGTCAGGATTTGGTCTCGGATCGGATCCACTCTAATGCAGGATCCCCCCTTGGACCAGATCCCTTCTTGAATCGGATCCTCTCTCGGATACGGTTCACCTCCAGATCGGATCCGACACTCCTGATCCACCCATTCGAACTATGACCTAGTCGGGGTACCACAGTATCCATTCTTCAGTAAATCTAATCACACCATTCTCCGATACCTTCCTCAGTACTTTTATCTGGATTTCTAGCTTTGACATCGATGTAAGGTGTAGCTGTCGTCTTGTCAGTGCAGTTTTCTAGTAATGACATGCTACAGCGTGGTTTTTGAATGGCGCGTAAACAATGCGGCATTCAGATACGACCGTAGGCAGCACGAGGCGACGGCATTACACACAACATAAAGTGGTGACAAAATAGAGTAGAGCCGAAGGAATAATGTGAGTTTTAATGCAGGTGTTCATGTGGATGCTTGCTGACAGATATGGTGCTTCGCACGCCAACAAAACGCGCAAGATGATAGAGTGTTATGGCCGCCACACAAAAGGAATACTGAAAGTGGTCGTATGGCTGGCGTTGATTTGAATATTGCAGCATGGATCTGCGCATACAGATCTAACATTGCTGTCTGCATCGCAGGACATCATGCGCAGCAGCTTGGCCTTGTCGGACCACATTAACATGTAGCACGATTTTTGAGCACTTCATTGGGCTGCATCGTGAACATGGTCGCTCTCCGTGCTAGAACAATATATGATGATGCTTGCATCGTAGACCTTATGCATATGCAGCAATGGTACTGGCGTTTTAACTGCTTATTTGGTAAAATTAGGTAGCAATAAGACAGATTGACACTACTGTTCGCTGGGGTAGTTCTTTCTATACAATTAAGAGCGATATCTTATGTATTTGATTAAAAAGAAATCGATATTTACTCATCTGTGTATATTCGATGGTACACGTCAGCTATGCATTATTTTTCCTCTTGTGGTACATATTCTTTCTTTCCGATCATTAGGATTATCTTCCTATATTTTCCTATTTTGAGACGCTGCGATGACTCACAAATACGAACGACACAGAGCAAAGCGGACAAAGAAAAGCCTATTGACGACCGTCGAAGCCGCAGCAGAAAGACCAGTCGTGGTTGCAACACATGACGTGTTGGAACAGCCCAAAAAGCAGGTGGTTTCTTTTCCACCAATCACATAAAACAAAACAATCGCAACGACAGAAGCACCAGAGGCAAAAGACACTCGCTGTGTCATGGAGGCGACGGGGATCTACCCGAACTCTGTGCCTTTACTGGCCGCCACAGGACTCGGTGTCGCTGTAGCAGGAAACGATCCAGACCACGTCCCTTTTGAACCGACGCTGATCAATGATCACCGCAGACGGTTCGCTGTGGACGGCAGCGCAGTAGACGCGCGTGGCGTCATGCGGCTCCATGTCCGCAATGCATTGGGCTACGCCTTTCTACGCCCGTACCACGTCAACCGACTACGTCGAGCTTATGTAGGAAAACGTATCACGAAAGAGTCCGAATGGGCCGCCCAAGCTTCGTTTTACCGTCATAACTATCGCCACTTTGTGCCGCACGATCTGATGATGGAGTTCTTGGCGAAAGAGTGTCCGTACGTCGAGTTGCTTCTTTTTGTACATTCGTTTATAGTATCAATGCAGTCGTACATGAAGGTATGAACTTGATGTTGACTCGTGTTGTGTGACGCTGTATAGTCGACAGGAGGATGGCGAAACGCTGTCCAAGTGGCAGGGCAATGCCATTGCAGGAGTTGATTGTGGACCGGACGGTCACGTGGTGTTTTACCCTACAGGACAGGTGATGCAACAAGCTTGTGCCTTCTATAGTCACGGTAAGTCGGAAGAAGACTTGCCGTGCTCTAGCACAGTGATCGAGACGGGTGCTGCAATTCGGCAGTTTTCTGTGATGGGAAGCAAAGACGCGTATCATACACCTAGTGCTGCAAAACTATATGCGGCTGCTCGTGGGTGCACAAACTGCACAATCGTTGCTGCGCCCGCACGTGCTACACCGGACAACATGCGTAAGATGCAGGCAAAGGCAAAACTGTCGTTCCACGAGGTAATAACCCACGTCGCTGGAAGCCCGCACGCAGAGGCTGAAGTGGCGTTGATTACAGCGGACGGAATCCTTCGATGTTGGGACCCTGAAGGGGGGATCCAAACGGTCAACACAAGCGCTACTACGCGAGACCGCTTGTTGCGCTGTGAATATTCTAGGTACGGTGGCAATTACTCTACACTCATGATTAGTCTAACGGAACATTTGCTATTGTTTGCTGTCGTTTGCTAGCCACCCTCGCGTTCTTTGGGCAGTAAACAGAGTTTCAGTCTCTACCGTAGATCTTCGACAACCCGCACAGCACACGAGCAAGTTGTTTGATGTAGAAAGCGCAGGTCCCTACGTGACTATTTATGACATAAAGCGTAGAGCGAGGTGCGTTTTGAAAGGTGACGGATTGTGAGTGTTTTACAGACTGACGTGAAATTGTTGTCGTCACGTGTCCATTGCAGCAACCCGTTCCAGTTTGTCGTTGGCACAGGTGTCTCCATTGAGCTCTTGGATAGTCGTATAGCAAGACAACCCCTTATCACGTGGGCTCAACCCGAGAGCTACTCGGGCGAGTCCGAGTTTTCATTTGGAGCAATTGACGAAGTGGACATGTCGAGAAGTGCTGACGACTTACGCGGTACGCCAACGAGTTTTGTCGTCTAGATGACACATGCTGAGCTCACTAATGTTACCTGTATGTGTGCAAAGGCTACATCATATCGAGCTTGAAGCGGGCAAAGGTAACGACGCTCTTCTCTTTCGAGCGCAACCGAAAACGAAGACATGATAAGATGTTGCTGCTGACGTCGCTGCGCTCCAACAACGATGAGGGGTACCCCACGTCTCTACGTACGAGCACAGAGCAGCTTATTGCCTCTGACGCAACGTTGGATTTGCGTATGGAAGATGGCGGGGAAAACACCAATTTGACAGGTGTTTGCGCGCTGCGGGATGAAGGCTCGGCATCCGCAAGTGTTTATCAGCTTAACAGTCTGGGCGATTTGTTTTCCCACCGGGTGTCGTTCGGCCGTTCTCCCACGAAGTCGTATCATGCTGCTATTCAGTCCGGGTACGTTGGACCACAGCTGGTCGCCACCTTTCGCTTGTTGTTTGCTACCTGTCCTTAATCATTTTCGTGACGTTGCAGTTTGCCAAGTGGTGTAGCTGCACAGGGTGACAGCATGGTCGAGTCGGTTGCTAAGATACTTCCGATACCGTCGGATGCTATACTACCGGAACACGATACTGAGTCAATGCAAAAGTTTATCACTCTTCCGATCAAAGTACTTCGTCGACAGTTTCCGCGCCTGTCAGCAAATAGAGACACGTTCGTCCATGTTCAAGACACGAAAGCAACGGCTTTAGACGACTGTACAAGCAAGGAGAGCAGGAAAGAAGACAGCAGCAAAGCAGGAGCCGTGGATATCAGGAGATCTCGTCGACAAAGGTATAACGAGACTGGCAATGGAGAATCTGCGCAAGCCGATGCACGATCAGCAAAGAGAGTGCATATCGATAGGTCCCACGGGATCGGGGAAGGCAAGGTTGATGCGATAGCATTAAAGGCGAAAGCGTCGCGATCGTTTGACAAGGACGAACTTGTCAAGCGACTCGCTGTCGTCTGTAACCTGTCGGCTTCGCTGTTTCGGCTGCATCGTTACATTCTCGACGAACTGAAGATCGAGATATCTTCGATTGAGCTTTTGCAGCTGATCCGTTCAAGCAGCGAGTTTCGACTTCGAGTAGTGCACCACGCGCTTCCAGCAGACACGTTTCGTGTGCGCAATCCATCACGACCAGGAACTGACGACGTGCACTGGAAAAAGGACGATCCGCGTTTGGCTGCATGCGTATGTCATCCAGGGTCGGCACGCTCGCAATTGCCATGCGAATCATGGGCTTGCGTTGTCCCTCACGCAGTGATCGTGTCGCGCTCTTCAATGGAGCTGCACCTGGACAACACAGCCTCTTCGTCGAGCCATAGACAGGAAATGCCGGTAGATTTGGCTGACATCATTGTTGCAGCACAGGCCGTGTACGACGACATGTGTGAACGTCTTTGAGAATCCAGTACAATGGTCCCATCGACGTATGACACTTTTGAGGTAGATAGGGCCACGATACCGAATGATAACGATTTCATTGTAACACGAGATAGAGTTTCCCGTTTTTATGTACGGCATAGCTCATCCTCAACATTTGTATCGCAAGCCAAGAACGTACAGAGCAACGAATTTCGCCGAAGAGGTTCAGAAAACTCGCATGGATTAGATAGATTCCGACTGACTTTTGATAGCTGACCAAAGTCGTACCATCCCTCAGTATTCTACTAGCCCGTACTGTTCTGGATAGTTTCAAAGCAATTACCTACTCCAATTTTGGAATTACAAAATGCCACGAGATGAGAGTAAGGAGCGCACGAATGATCGGAGAATGACAATAGCGCACGAAAAGATGAAATAAATAATGATTGACGATATGTCCAAACCATCAAAATGCACTAGCGATTATCGATACGCCCGAATGTGATTACACTTATGATTATGCAGAAAAAGTCAAATCTAGTTGTTTATATTCCACTAGTGTCGCAGCCCATAGATTGTGCGAGCATTATGAGGGCGTGTCTAACGCGTACTTCAAACGAGTCAGACGTTTGTCCAGACAAAAATCAATTCACTCGTCGGACACTGAATTTGATTCAAAAGGAAAAATACATATTGTCACGCTTTAGTGAAGGGGGTTGGAGTTGCGGAGCTCATTAAGCGATCTTGTCAAGTTTTGGTTCCTCAATAACGGGGGGGTCACATGCCATGTGTACAACACATAGTCATGAATATCACGGCACACCACAAAAAGAGTATCATGTCACAAATAAGGATAGTGAGAAGTTATTACCTGGGACAATTTTCGATCACGGATTTTCACCCTTTTTATTAAGTCGCGTCCTGAAGAGGTCTTCAAACACGTATGGGACGACATTGAGGAAAAAATTTCGGCTTGCGTGGCAGATTACATTCAGCATCAACGACTTGACAATTTCAAGGAGCGATTTTGTGGACCATGGCTTTTGAATGTCTTGCGTATCGGTAATTGGCACACCTCACGAGTTGAGATCGCACACCGCAGTCTGAAAGAATTTCTGGAAAACGCTAACCAAGGTCTTTTTCGATTTACCTAAAACTGAAGCAGCGTGCCGAGGACAATTTGGATGCTGTAAGATTAGCGCGTAAGCGAGAGCTCCTATCAAGACGAACTTCCTCTCTCCCAGTACTAAGTAAATTGGATCGTCTTGTCTTGATTACTGCGTCGAGGCTACTGCATAAACGAATCAGGACTTGCCAAGATTGATTTAAAGAAAGAAATGCAGGCTGGTGACGATCACAATCCGTCCATGTGCTACAATATATTTAACAGACGATACGGCCTCCCTTGTTCACATTATCTACTTGATTTCCTCCGACGCGGCGGAAAAATTGGTGCAGAACATATCACAATTCCTTCTGATATCAGGAGAAAGAAACCATCTGTATTTTGATTTCACCACCTTTTCGAGCTCCGATGTCTCAACGACCCAAATCGAAACGTAGAATGTTAACATCTGTGGAGATTGGAGAGATCTAAATATAACTTAGACGAAATAGTCAGTGTGGCGGTTGCCAAGAGTATGCACGTCATAATATTAATACCTGTCCTAAGCACAAAGAATTAGCAAGCCCTTCGCTAGTCGCAAGCGGATCCTTTGCGAGTATACCGTCATCTACAAGTGAACAAGTACTTCAGAGGCAAAACCAAACGATTAGATTGCTGAGTCACCAGCAGTATCGACCTCAGCAGCAACAACAACTCATCCAGCCCATTACCAGCCGTACACATACAAACAGCATCCTCAATACTTATCCTCTCCTCCGATCAAGATTTGTTCCCTAATCGCCGCCAAAGACAACAAATGGATCTAGAAGATACTCTCTCCCACGACCATACGACCAGCTGCATCAGATTCATGAGTCTCAACGACTAGGCTCTGCAGAAATATGTTATACTCATCCACTCCAGTCGCAGATGAGGCAAAACCACATGCAGGGGGAACCGTCGTCTCTCTTATTCACCTTTGGCCCTCCCATGCTTCTGCTCATCACTTGGCTTCATTTAGTTCAAGCGATCATAACATGCAAATTACTATACCTCGCAGGTAGTATCTGAATGTGTAGCAGCATTCAAAACAAAATGAGTAAAGCAAACAATCCAGTATGTAATTTTTTCCTTCTCAATGTACCTTATTGATTGCACCGTCTTTTGCAGAAGATATATCGATCTTGATGTGATGGGACTTACAAAACTCTGGCTCCCAGCGGGGTGTAGAATGAGAGCGATCCTTAAATTGTAGAGTCACGAAGGGGGCGGTTTCGTGATCACGTCAGAATTCTCTGGCGTCATGCGCTCGTTTTGTGATCGTTCATGACGGGTTTTCAGAGTAGCGCAATGCGCTAAAATTTGAAACTTTATCCATCTTATGTCCGGACAAAAATATAACTTTTGGCTGGAAAATTGTCAGAATATATGTCAAACAAACGTTTGACACATTAAAAGTACGGCATACAAAAACTTCGAAGTACGTATTACCCACGCCCTCATTCTGACCAATTTGTGGTGTTGGGTCTTCCTTTTGTATCCAGAAATCACTTCAGTTATTTATTATGCGAGTTGCTGACGCGCATATGTCTGTCACAATATACTGAACCCCTCGGCACAAACATCGTAATTGTGTGTCAGCGCAAAAAGACGGACTATGCTAAGTATATTGCACGATCGAGTACGTGTGTATCGTGCAACATGTTAGATGTGAACCGAGTGGGCCGAGCCCATATAATTGTGTGCATTGTGTACTCTACGGCTAATGGAAACATTGCATATCTTCGCTACATCCCAGCTATTATATCCAAAATAAAGCCGAATCACTAATCCAGTACCGGCTTCTCTTACGACGGACCATAAATATCTATTAGCATTGTGCACTCGATAGAGTATTTGCCGCTTTACGAGCATTTGCGTGATTCCCTGTAATAACGTCCATGTTATCGCGTCAGCTCTCCACTGCCCTGTCACCTCTTGATGCTGTTTGTCTATTTTTCACCTTGTACAACCTCCGGTCGTGCCTCAAGCATCTTAAACAGCACTGTATACGCGCCATTTTGACACGGCTCCGTGGTAAAACAATAACGAGATTTTACCGTTGAGTCGGGACATGGGAGCCCACAGAGCGCAGGCGTCAGTTAATTCCAAAAAGAATTCTGATTGGGGGAATACTGTCTGAGATGGGTGGCTCACGGTCTCGACCTGATCTCTCGGTCTCGATCCGACACCTTGATCTCGATCTGTTGTATACAAGTCGGTTGTGGGTCACTCCAAAGTTCCAGAGAGGGCACTTGGTGTAAGCCACATAGGTACAGAGGGACGATCTTTGGGGGACGGAAACGCGTGGCTTCAAAATTCGGGAGATAGATAGGCCTAGCGATGTTTTAGTTTTTGGATTTAATTGTTTAGCATTAAGTGAAGATTTATATGCTTCTAAGTACACGTGTCGACTTCTTTTCCAGGTTGGATCATTGGTCACCCGACGTCAAAGAAAGGTAAATACTTTGATTAAGTGATATCCCTGGTTTGTTTGTCCAGGGGTCAAGGTCTCTCAACGAAAAACCCAATTGCGATCGGATGCAGCAGACAAGTAAAGGAGAAGGATGCGAGATCGCGATACGGTGTAAGTGGTCAGAAGGCTCGCATATCAAGCATCTACTTTGGACAAGGCGATCTAGTAGAGATCAAGATGAATCATATCATGCACCTCACAAGTACATCCGATATCGTGTTAAGATTTCCACGCGATAGCACCAATCTCAACCAAGGTTAATCTTGGCATCGACTCGAGTTCACTTATAAGAGTTCATCCCGCTCCACCGACGGTTACACAAGGTGAGTATTAATTACATCACGGCATCGGAGTACCCCTACGCTAGTCGGGTATCTGGGGGCGCCAGTGGAGAGTTGGGATCGATTTTTGAAAAGAGCGATCACCACTCCACCACAGCTCTGTCTCATCTCTTTACCAAGAAGCGAAATGTCAAACGCAAATATCTAGATGAAGCGTTTAGCAACAACGTGACCGCTTCATCGAGTAATGAACAATACATTCATATTACGATTGTAGCGTCAGCACACCTCTTCTTTCTTGTAAACGTCTACCGACGCTAAAAGAATGCAAAAGGATCTCTTTACTCGATGGATTATGAGAGGGAACGAAGAAGATAGGCGAAAATGGACATTATTGATATGAGGCATGTGTATGTTCATCCATAGATTCGTTTGTATATTCATCCATTTATAGCGTAAACGTTGATGGTGCAGTTCCTTCTCATCGTGTAGTGCATTTCGAATGTATACTGCCGAATGGTCTTATATTTTTGTGACTATCCAGTGCATTTACCTGTATTCATGATTTAGTATCATGATAATAATGCTTCGTTCCGGATTGTTCAATGTGAACCAGATGGGAAACTGACGAAGGGCTCAATTATAAATGAATGCACGCAAGAATAGTGAGCGTAGATCACAGCTTCAGTCAAAATCGAGATATAGTGAACCAGGATAAAATATTATTGATGGTCGTGATTACTTACGTTATTGCAATCATATTTTTTTACATTCGACTTACGTGTGCGTCAATCTTTAAATGTCCTATGCACGGCCATGTAAGTAAAGTTTCGAGGCGCCCGGCTAAACTTTTGTAAAATAAGGCTTACCTAGACTGCTTGCAGAACAAACGCGGATTCTCCGTTTCACCGGGTGACATTTTGTGATTCGTCTAGCCATCACGGACTCATCCACCGTAAAAGTAAGGGCATGACAAATTTCAATCCACGCATCAAAGCTTTGCCCATTTGAGTTTTGTAAAATGAATGCGATCCAAAAAATTCGTCAAATCGTCGGTGGTCTCTCGTAGACTTCATATAATTTGCTGCGAAATGTTTGTACAATGAACTGCGAACGACAAATTAATGCGAGAGGAACTCAACGCGGCCGGATATTGAAAGTTGCTTTACTAAAAGTTCCCTCTTAGCAAGAACATGGTGCGTAACATGTTTTGCTGTTAAGCAACAACAGCAGGCTGATGTTACTGTTAGTGGGTCAATCCACATCAGGCGACTCGAAAGGTATAAGGTTGACATGTGATTGCTCTATTGCGCTGGGGACATCTACCATAATAATTTTACATTTGTTGGTGTAAAATAAATAAGTAAGCCGTCTCTAGCGCAATATAGATCCATGCTTAGTTGGCTTGTTATAGCGTGTGACATAAGATACATCCGATGTGACTACTTATATCGCGCGTGTCAAAAGCGTACATCCTTGTAGGACTTGAAATTGGCTTATCCTATTTACAAATTAAGGTATATAATAATATCCAGTACGAACATAGCAGGGTTTTATGAATTTCGAGTGTCAAAGATCTTGGTTGATAGATGACATGTCACAATTGTATGTCTATAAGAAAATTTAATGGTCATTGATACAAGCAAACTACGTTTTTACACTCAAATGTTTCAAATCTGTAGGTCGATATTGACCACATCGCGTCATCCATACTACGATTGCCGTGTCATCGTGCTACATGATAAACGCCGGATCCAAGCCTTTTCACATATCACGGACCAATCCGGATCCTAGGTCGTATTCGAAATCCGGTCATCGAGTGTGTAAAAGCGAAGTAATCAATAGCTATGTTATTAAATAGATCATGTGCTCGAGTGATCCCAACAATTTTCTGATTGATAGAGCACGGTCCGTGATTAAAGGTCCTTCACGACGCTGAAAGAGACATGGAAAGATAATGGAGAAGGCAGGTCTACTCTTGACCGTTTTACATCGATTAGTGGGCTAGGAAGAAATGTTAGGCGAATCTTGATCCGTGAATTACAGCACGCGATCCACTCTAGTAAAAAAATTCTAGGGATTAGGTTTCACTGTAATTACGTAATCGGGATCGACTATTGATGAAATGCTGGAATGACCGATAATATGTCCGAACTATTGTCGGCACCAGGTATTTTGGATGGAGGATATACGATACACGTACGATCTTAATCGAAACGTGATTATATGTATTGAGAACTACGTATGATATGGACGATATTGATGTGAACGTTTGAGTGACCGAGATCCAAATGACCTATCTATTTCTTTGCCCAACGTAATAAATGACTGACTACAGATAAGCATGCTGGAATATCCATTAGAAACTAATAGAGGAATGAACCGGTACACGTGAAATCTTGGCTGCTCAAAGACTTGCGCATATTCGGATGAACATGTATTGGATGCATACACTCATTTTATACATATAAGTGACATCGCTATCATGTTAGATAAGATTTCAGATTCACCGATTTTTGAACCACTGTAATATCATTAATACAATTTGGGTACTATTATTTAATGAGTGCATCCGTAATACTTTAAACACAAAGTAAATAATTATGTAATTTGTAAATTATCATAATATTGTTTATACAGAAGAACTTAAAATAATCTTTTGTTCATGTAAAAAGAAATGATGAAATGAAGTGAGTTTTTTTTATGAGAATTCAAATTTGATGAAGCAATATTGTTGTATGTTATAGGCTGCCATTTCTAATTTCTTAATATTATTGTTTTCGTATTTTATTCTTGCGCTATTTACAGTATAGAAATGATCTCTATCAGATCAATTCATATTTTGTGCCTGTAATCTTTTTCGTATGTAAAATTAAAAAAATATATAGACGTGGTCAAATATTGCAATACAACAATTGGTTGCTGTGATCGCATTCGTGGATTTTTGTCATCTCATAATTCCGATCTACAATCCTCGCCAAAATTCTTACGTCAGTGACGAGATTTGGAACCTTTAATCATAAACTTGCCTGGTAAGTTTCTGCTTTTTTGTGCATTTTTCGAGCCGCGCGAGGTCATGTCTACGTAGACATGGGAGCCTTGCACTGATGTACCAGTTTGTGCAATTAATCGAGAGAGGGGCAAAACCTTGAAAGGTTCTGGAAATACTTATCCTTAACTGATAGTGATGCTACCGTTGCATGTATGCAGCGACAAGTACACCAACAGCAGTGGCTTACGTGCCGGATAACATAAGAACGATATTCCGAGACTATGCCTAGTGTAGCCAATCGAAACGGCCATAGAGGTAGAATGCGGCATCTAAGATGAGTTGTAAGCGCAAGTTATAGGTGCACATACATGGCTTGGTGCGATATGTTGACAATCTTGCGTATAATTGCAACCCTGTGACAATGGCCCCAAGTAACAAAACAGCTACATACCGATCGGCATCGCACCGTGTAATGAATGATACAGATCTTAAAAAAGTAAACAAGCAGCAACTAGTTTCTGGCTCAATCGAGGATGTAACTTTTATTCTTGCTTATGTCCGATTCGACAGGCTCTTTCGAGTCCAATTACAAGCGTATGCATCTTGCAGGCGTACAGCCTCGGGTTCCACGAGAGCGTCTCCCCTCCGGGTATTGCGCTCACAATCACTTCGTGACCCACCACTTTTTGACGTTTTCAGCTGGTCCATCGCGAAATATTGCCACTCGATCCGTGATCGCGTCAATATTCCATTACGTCGACGATAGTACGCGGTCTCTGCTCCACCATCTGGTGCTTTACACAAAATATCTACAACGTCACTCATTCATTGTACACCTCATCCACACAATGGACAAGCACAGCGCCATCGCATTCGGTGTGGCTGCCGGTCTAGGCGTCGGGTACCTCCTGGGAAAAGCGCACCCTAGAGCTCCTCTTGCAGCGAACGGTGGCACAGAGCTGTCAGAACGTGCCAAGGACTTGGACGAGGTGGAGCGCCTCATTCGTGCCAATATTCTTGCCCTCACGCCATATCGCTGTGCTCGCGATGACTACGATCAAGGTACCTCAGTACCTAATGCGTAGCACTCTAGCTCGATGCGACCCTACCTACCGAATGAATTTGTAGCAAAAGATTGATATCCGTTGATGTGCTGCGTGGGCAGGCATTCTGCTCGATGCCAATGAAAACAGTTTGGGTCCACCACTGTCGGGTTATGAGCAACTACAAGCCATGCGACTAGAGCGCTATCCGTGTCCGTATCAGTTTGAGCTGAAGAAGGCTATTACCGATTACAGGTACGATATCATATACACTCTATGGGTTGCTGTGACAAGGCCGTGTGGTGCTCAGACTGTCACGTTCTGGTAGGAATCATAATGCGACGGAGACGATCAGCCAGGCAAACACGTTCTTGGGCGTTGGAAGCGACGAAGCCATTGACTTGATCATTCGCGTTGCTTGCACTCCTCGTGTAGACAACGTTTTGATTACACCGCCGACCTACGGCATGTACAGTGTCTGTGCCAACATCCACGATGTAGCAATTGTCTCTGTGCCGCTGCAAATCGAAGCACCGGCAGAGAATCTTACCGGACTGAAGCCAGGCCTTCCCCAGCCATCCTTTCACATTGACCCTCGAGAGGTGAGCTGCGGACGATACGAAGGGGGATGCCGCTGGACTTGTCAACACGGTCGCCTCCAAGATCCTTACAAATGTCTGCGTGTCTTCCGCAGATTTTGCATGCCGTCACTCCATTGACGAAGGTCATTTTCCTGTGCAGTCCCGGCAATCCCACGGCCAATGTGCTGCGCCTCAAGGACGTGGAAGCCATTCTGGAGTCAGAGGTCGGTGGTGTTATTGGTGGTGGCTGAGAACGACACGGTGACATTATCTGTTCATTTGTTCAACAGGAGTACAAGGGTTTTGTGGTAGTGGATGAAGCATATATTGACTTTTCTAACACCTCGAGCTTATGCACGATGGTGAACAAGCACAGGCGGCTCATTGTGCTGCAGACGCTCTCGAAGGGCTTTGGGCTTGCAGGCATTCGTCTGGGTATTGCCTTTGGTGACCCGAAGCTGATCCAAGTGCTCAACAATGTAAAAGCTCCTTACAACATTAGCAAGCTGACGTCGGATGTTGCGCGCAAGGCTTTCTCAAACCTGGAGGAGCTGCACAAGAGCGTGTCCCTCATCAAGGAGGTATGCAAAAGTTATATGCTGATTGCGTATTGATACAGTAGTGCGAGGGTTCTGACTTGTGGTCACGACATCCACAGGAGAAACACCGAGTGATTGCGGAGCTACAGAAGCTCCCTTTCGTGCGCCGTATCTACGCCTCGGACTCGAACTTTGTGCTTTTCGAGGTAGGTGTTCATCAAATCTTCATGAAGCCCAAAGTGTGCGGTAACGTCTTTTGGTACCGTGTCTCGTGAACACAGATTCCGCACGCGCTCAAAGTCTACCGCGAAATGGCCAGTCGTGGAGTGGTCATTCGTTATCGCGGCAAGGAGCATCTACTTGCTGACTGCGTCCGTGCAACGATCGGCTCTCGTACCGAAAACGATCGCATGCTTGAGTTGCTTGTGGAAGTAATGGGCGAACAGTAATCGCTTCCACGCCTACCGTTACGTGCGAACGCGATGCGCAAAGCTTACCATGTGCGCACAATGCAGCTCGTGTCGCACACTAGTTCTCTTCTGTTGTGTTGATCTTCAGACCTTATGGCGCTAGTTGTGTTCCTCTAGAAACAAAGCGAGTGTATTCCATGCGCAAATATATGAACAGATTCATTCGACACAACCACCACAAGAAATGTGCTGAATGGTGACGGCCCGCCCGCAACTGGCAAAAGGCATCGTACAAAACGATTCCATGATGGCATTCCATGTCCTTAGCCGCGCAGCAAACTCTGTTCCAACGGGTCGTTTCCGTCACAATCACCCCTACCCGTGCCAAAAAAGATGCCACAGCCTCGAATCGGTTTTGACGTTGCGGACAGACTGCTGGAAGCTCGGCGAGTGGGCAGTCGACGATTGAAGTACAGCACCGACAGCGCTGGCACGATTTCCAAGACGGCATAGTACACTACCACTACAAACCAAGTGCTACGGTCATGTAGCTGACGTTTCTCCGTAGACAAAACAACCTGTAGTGCGCAACGCGTCATGAAACAGGATGTGCCAATCGACGTTATGTTCACCAGTTCCCTCAGTTTCCTTGATCGAATCCTCATTTCCACCGGCACAGATCTGTCACATGACGCGAGAGAAAGCATGAGCCAGTCGTGTAGCAGAGCAACATGCAGTCGTTATTCTGAGACCACAAATCAGCAGCACCGACCGTAGTTCAGTGTATGCTTTTCTTCCAAAGTAGATAAAGCCAGTGGCGATGATCAGGAAGAGCTCCATGTTCAGCAATGCTTGTGTTCGTGTGAAAAACGCACCTACAAAACAAGATAAGGAAATTTCTCAGTATTCATACAGACGCTGCACACAACTGGGATCGAAGCGTACGTTCGTTTCGCCACACCGACGCATAGAATGCCCAAAACAATCCTTGAATAAGCAGTACAACCTATACATTATAATCAATCATACGTTGTTGTTCGAAAGCGTGACACCACATCAGCGTCATCACCAACGCCAACGTGTTACGACCCGTTTGCTGCACGCACCACAATGCACCATCGGATAGCAGGCTTCACAACGTCTGTCAACGTCGACAGCTTGTCCACTGCATTGTAGTACACCTCTGCCCAGAACTGTACCAATAGAGCATAGATCGCAAAAAATGCCAGAATCGGCACTTGGTCCATAACGTAGAACAGGTCGCGCTTGACTGGAGAGCACGCATGGACATTGACTTCTCCCGACAAAACGTCGCACCAATCGAGTCCCACCAACAGCAGGAAAAGCGAACGATCTGCACGGTAAAAACAATTTCCGCATGGGTGAGTACGACGCCGTATCATCTACCCACAAATCGTGCACAAAGAGGGCTCGCACCAAGCGTGGCGAAGAACATGAGCAGATGAATCATCTTCTGAACAGTCCAAGGACGATACCGACCGCAATTTCGTACGAGCTGAGCCGCTGCGATGCATCCGACAAGCGCATACACGATACTGTCGACAAGAAACGCTGTTCGCACGCCCTCTTCTTCGTCGTCGACGACGTCGTTCCCAAAGCTGCTGCTGCTACTGCCGTAAGTGCTCCGCCACATTGTCATCATCCGCATGAGACGACGAAACGAACAGAGTGATGTCACTAAACATCGCATCGCAACTCTCTCGTTTTAGTGACTCGCACCCTGTTGTTTGCAAGTGCGAGTTACAGCAAAACCGTCATGACGCGGTCCATTGCACTACGTGAAGAGCTGCAGACGGACGACGTGCAACAGCTGTGGGCTCTCGCATGTCTGTTGGCGCAGAGGAAGTTAGTAGTCCAGACCGCGCAGTGTCTAGAGGTGCATTTGTAGTGTGTCGACGAAAAAATGCGAAGACATAAAGCCACTCATCTCTCTTTTATGGTCTATCTAGCCTCTCTGTGCACTTGATTGCAGCGCTCGAAGCGCCGAAGAGCAAGCAATACTAGTGCAGGCAAATTCGATGTATGCTGAGATTTGTAGCGCAGCGTGCAGCAGAAGCAAGAAGGCTGCGGATCGAGAGCTGTGGACACGTCGCATTGTCCAGATCGAGAAATGTATCGATTCGGTTGACTCTGCGGTTGCTCGAGGTGTTCCTTGCAGTGTAAGTATGAGAAGCAATGGATACAGCACTGGATATAGCAAAGATGGTTTTTTACCTGGCTAACGTAGATGTAAATGGTGCTGGCATGACATGCAGCATGAGAGCCAGCTGCGGCTACTGAAGGCGAAGTTTATACTTCAGCGGCAGTTAAAAGCCGAGCGGTATACAAAGAACCAGAAGATACTGGAGATTTTGACTGAAGGCTTGCAGGTCGCTGCAAGGTTCGATGATTCGGTTGCTGTGGGATTCAGGAAATACTTTGAGGTGAAGATGAAGGCTTGCCTGGTAAAGATGCATGCCGCAACTGTCACGGAAAAGTGCGGTAAGGGTCGCGACGATGTCAACAGATTTGCGGAAAACTTGCGATATTTACGAACTGCGCTGCCAAGTTCAATCAACAAGAGCTTTTTGGTGCGTGAGAATTTCTTGCTTGTTTGTACCGGATTAGCAAAACTCGTATCACTGCTGACTTGTGCTGACCGATGTATAGTTATGGCTGGTCGAAGCAACACGCCACACAGCTATCTCATCGTTCATTCCAGGTGATGTTGCCGAGACGCGTCAATTAGTTGACTTTGGCCAGGAATTTCTAGACCGAGTGTCCGTACATGAACCGGTATCTACAGACTTTCGTCTGCACCACCTAGTCATAACTGGTTTCTATTACTTACGGTAAGAACTTGCTTGTGGGACAAAGTTGTGACATGTCTAGTCTTGTCCTCATCGTGATGTTGCGCAGAACGGGGGCGCTTACTAAACTGACACCGTTACTAAAGGAAGCTTACACATGGGCTAACGGCGCCGAAAACGACGACAGTCAAGAGCGCACAGGAAGTACAAAGCACCCGTTTTTGAAAACAATTCTGGACTCATTGCGTGTGAGTGTGGTTGCATCCTCTGATCCGAAGGAGGCATGTGATCTTGCCATGAAGACCGCGCTTTCGGCCCAAGAAAATTTACAGGCGTCGTCTACTCAGCCAGCAGTGCGACTCGTGCTCATCGCAACGCTATTCGACATGCTGTACGTCTACTGCCGCTTGCTGGCCGTACAATGTCGGTATGCAGACATGGGTACAAGCATCGTGCAGACGACCACACTGTTTACGACGTACAAGGTGGACCTAGAGCGGAGCATACTTTATCGTGTTGTTCTTGCACGTTGTCACACGTTGATTGCAAAGGTGAACGACCGTTACGCTTGATGAGCACATTGAGCTATTGAACGTGGGGGTGTTTCTCATCGACATGAATTTGATGTGTCTTTGCTTTCGATTTGCAGTTTGCCACCGCCATTGGAAAGGTAAAAAACGCTTGTGCCCACCTAAACTTTGTAGTGGATAAGGTGCTTCCTGCCCCCGCTGTTGGCAATGCATCGTACCCTGACGCATACTTGGCCGCGTGGGTTGACGTGCTCGAAGTTGCCACACACTGTTGCAAAGTGGATACTTTGAAGTGCTTGACATCAAGCAGCGGTGCGTGTAAGGGTGCAAGGATAGAGCAGATATACCCCAGCCGAGTTTTGCTACAATGGGCCGCTCGTGTTCTCACACTCGACGGATTACAATATCAGATGCGTCAGTGCTGCAATGTTGAGCTCCGTGCCAGGGTAGGCAAAAACAAGGTCCGGTTCCTACTTTATTACACTAACTCTGTCGCGTACACTCCTGTTTGTTGCATTTAGCACGACCTTGCACTTGCGAAATGGATGTGGGCGACGAAAAGCTCATCAAACGACATCGAAGCAGACGAAAGTAACGTTGGTCGCACTGCACGCGATTCGCTGCACACCAAGCTAGAGACACTTCGTCCGGGGACGTTTACTCTCCTCCACGATGCGCTTCACCGTGTGAACACAAGTGTGACATGCTGCGAGACGACCTCCGAGATCATGGCATTGTTCGGACCGCAGCTAGCAGCTCGCGGCGAAGTGGAGCAAGCTGAAAACATGCTGGAGAACGCCATCTGCATCGCCCTGCACGCCAAGAATGTACTGCTACAGACGCGGCTTCTGGCAGACGTCTTTGAGCTCTACGCAAGCAAAGGACTAACCAAGGCGCAAGCAGCTGCTGCCGCAAAGTACGAGAAGAAGCTGGCAACTTTACAGCGTCGTGTCGCAGCAGCTCAAGCCAACGAGGCCACACTGGTAGCTCTACTGCGATGGACTGTCGACGGGAGCACTTGAAACATTTTTGACAGTGCAAGTTTCTTCTGAAACGACTACCAAAGTCGTAACTCGTGACAATATTAGAGCACGAAGCAGCTCACTGGTTTTCGTGACGCGAGTGACAAGTGCAACGCAGCCGTTCTGGACCCCGTCTCGCGCAGCAGTCCACTCGCTTCTCACAACCGTGCCACGGTGCCTGCTGTGTGGCGAATCGATTGTGCCATTGGCACACCTTGCGCTCTCATTGCGTGCGCGCATGACGATCCCGCAGCTTCCGCCTAAAGAACAAGACCATGCCACCAGAGATAAGAACGCAGTCGTCACAACCTTCGCACGACTCCCGCCCATTCACCACACTGCTAGCCCAGACGCCTATTGTTTACCATAAACCGCAGCTCGTTCTGAAAAGACGCGACGAAGTTACCCACAAACATATCCGCGACGAAGCGAAAAACCCGCAGCGATTCTTCCTTCATTGCTACTTTGGGATTATTACGAGCTGTTTACGGTTACTCGCTGCGGCGGTGGTGGTACCAGTGTACCATCCTCGCCACGCGCGACTGGCTCTGCCGATCCAACTGTCACTGTCTAATTACAGACACACTTTTCGAAACAGACAGACGAATAAACAAACAAACAAACAAACTCAGAAACGAACCGACAAACGGATTGACATTGGCACACAGACCGACAGACAGCTCTTCGCACCTTGAAGTAGCGCTACTAAACAAGTCGCTGTTCTCTTCGTCTCGATATCAACTTATCATCACTCCTCCTCATTGATGCAGCGCCACCAGTGCGTCGTCCTTCTTATTTGCTCATGCAGCACTGCATCATACTCACTCTGCTGCTTGTCTTGTTGTTTGTGTGTCACGCTGTCTTCTCTCTTCTTCTCTTGTCGTGGATTCTTTGTTGTGGATCATGATCAGGAAACGACTGTGCGTCGAAGTCGTGAGTGCTCGGAACCTCGAGAGCTCGCAATCCATTGACTCGTACTGCGTCGTTGGACTCTGCGCTATCGAGTCGATGAGTTGGCGCGGCAATTGCCGTCTCGCTACTTCGTCAGGTCTTCGGTCGTCGACCGTGACAGGCTCCAGCCACCCCACCTGGGCTCATGTGACGGAGTTCGTGCTACCAGCTCCTCTTGCGAACGTGAGATTGAGGGTGGAGCTTCGCAGCGCAAAGAATTTCTTCTTCGACATGTTTCCGCCGTCCGATGATGGTCGGAGGTTGATGGACGAGAAGGAGGCGGCCGCGGCACAAATTTGCGGTCAATCGGCATGTTTTCAATCGGATCAGAGCAATTTTCGGACCACGAGTGAGCCGCAAAACTGTGTGAAGGGATTAAAAAGGGCTCAGGACAGTGACAGTGACGATGTAGCTACGCTATCTGAGGAGGAGGAGGAAGAGGACGACGACGACGAGTCTTATGAGGAAGATGGTACATGTACAGAGGTTGAGGAAGACACAACTGTTGCTGCTGCACATTCAGACGATGAGGTGCTGGGCGTAGTTGAGATAAACCCGAGTGTTTTTTGCAAGTCGTCGGGGGCTGTGACGGACTCGTGGTACATCTTATCTGGCACGAGAACGGGGGAGGTGCGGATCCGCACGATTTGGTATACTCGAGCGAAACGGGCGCTCGCTGCCCAGGATCGCGCTGTGCTGTATGAGGAGCATGTGCAACACTGTGTGACGGAACCTATGAATGATTTTTACGGGTTTTCTATACCAATGGCTGCAAGGGACAAGTGGGTGCACCTGCGCTCGTATCAGGACTGCCGAGAAGAGAGACGTGTTGAGGATTGGACGAGGTTATATGGCGCTGAATTTGCGGAACGTCTTCGGCGTTGTTCATTTAAGGAAAGAGACACAAAGGAAAAAGCTTTATTGATGCAGCTGGCTCGGAATGGTATACCGCGGCATATGCGAGCACGTGCGTACGTGAATCTTTCTGGAGCAAGTGAGAAGCAAAAGCATGCAGGTGCTGACTACTACATGGATCTTGTAAAGAAAGCAGAGACGGTTGAGACGGAGACATTTAGCCAAATTGAGCTTGACATCGGCCGCACGTTTGGACAATCTGAAACGATCATAAGCTCCGAGTCGGGACGTGGACAGTTGCGTCGCATTCTTCGAGCCTATTCGCTTCGCAATTCATCCATAGGTTATTGCCAAGGTTTGAATTTTATCGTGGCGTTTCTGCTGCTGATAGCAGATGAAGAAGTCGTATTTTGGCTGTTGAGCGTGTTCTGTGAGGATTTATACCCGGGGTACTACTGTCCAGCAATGGACGGCATCCAAAGGGACATGTTGGTGCTGAAGCAGATGATCGCTGAGGAGCTCCCTGAGCTGGATAAGTTTGCATCGGAGATGGGGCTACCGTTGGAGCTTCTGGGCTCTCAGTGGCTCCTATGTTTATTTACTACAACATTTCCTAGTGAAACGGTGTTTCGGATATTCGACTGCATCTTCATAGAGGGCTCGACGTTTGTTTTTCCTGTGATCATGGCGCATTTGCGTCGGCTGGAACCGACACTGCTGGATCTCGACGAGTTCCACGGCGTGTTGTCTTCAATCAAGGACGCGGAAAGTGCATGTGTTGACGGCGACACGTTCATGACTGCCGTGTGCAAGGAAGCTGAGAGTGTCAGTGCTAGTCGGGTTCGACGTTTGCGTGAGGCGCAACATGGGCTGGTGCGGAGCGAAATGGAGCGGGCTGAACGCGCTCGTTCTTTCAACAAGCAGCTGGCTATCGTGCACCAGATCCCTGCATTCCCACATTATGCGGCGTGTCTCCTCCGTTTCTTCCACGAGGAGGCGGAAGAGTCCTCGCGCTCAGATGTGGCTTTCGTATTGACCATGCTCTGCCATGGTCTCGTGTGGCTAGCAGAACAATCGAAGCGCTGGAGTTACTAGCATGGAACAGCTTGCGGTCAAGGGGTGCTGCAATGCTGCATTTTTTGCAATTAAAACGCTGGGGTTACCAGCTTGGAACGGCTTGTGGTCAGGGGGTACTGCAATGCTACATTTGCTCGGTGATGCCGCCATCTATTTAGCTCCTCTGTACAATGTGTAATAAGCGAGGCTGCTCTGCTATGCTGCAGTCTCAGGTTGTTCATACATGAGGAAAAGCACTGCCTGCAACCATGATCTGTGGAAAAAGTGTATTGCTGTATTGTCTACGCATCTCGTTGATAGCGCCACTAGAACCCACGCCGATCGCTCTTTATTGCTTGCCTCTCTTCACGGGAGCTTTTCTGCCCGTTTTCGCTACCACAGGTGCCGGACGCTTCTTCGCGGGTTTTCCAGCGCTCGGTAGCACCGTAAAGAAACTGTCAAGCCGTTTCTGGGACTGCGTGCTCTTCGATTTTTTCAGTCGCGTGATAGCGGATAGCACGCGGTCTTCTTGAAATCCGTGTTTCTTGACCAGGAAGTCGAGCAGCTCTGTCTCTTGTGGATCACGCCATTTGATCTCTGCCTCCTCAGCATTCACGACCTCTGGCTGAATAAACATCTCGCGCGCATTCTTGTAAATAGGGTTCTCACCCAGCCACTCATCCGGAATGACAACACCTTTGCTCTTGGTCTTCTGCAGTGCTTCAATGAAGTTCTCGATGCTCTTGTGTTCCTTGATCCCTGCGTATGCTTTCTTGGGCCCGACGCCACGAATCGAGTCACAATAGTCACAGCCACACAAGATACACAAGTCGACAAACTGGTCGTGGCTCAGTCCCATCTCGTGCAATGCCCGTTCGAGCCGAATCTCCAAGATCGGCACCTTCTTGGCCGGCGACACTGTTAGGCGACGGTACAGCACAGGTACGCCAAACGTCAACGCATCCATGTCCTCTGTCCCAGCTGCATAGACGCGTCCACCTTTCGCCAACGCAGCACACGAAGCTTCGGCTTCACACGGCGCGGTAATGTGTGGCACCCCCATGAGTCGAAGCAGCTCCTTGCAGTCGTCGTTATGTTGGGGTGTCGCACGCACCAACCGCTTGTTGAAGCGGTCAATGTCCTCGGCAATGCCCTTTTCCGTCGCTTCTTCCAGCGCTTTTTGCGCTTCGATACGACGGTCGCTCCGCTTCGCCAACTCGCCGCTTTTCATGACGGGCGGTTTGCCGTCAAACACGTACAGGGGCTTGAGTCCGTTCTCCATCATGCGGATCGTGCGACTGAACATTCCTTGCAAGTGAGACGTCACTTCTCCCTCTGCGTTGGTCAGCGTTTGCGACGCGCCTCCGCTGCCATCGGCGGACCGAATAGCGATGAGGAATTGGTACAGCGCCATACTCGCATCAATGGCCACGGTGTGCCCGGCGAGTGCCGACATCTTTTCGACCTCTTTGATGCAGGACGGCGCTTCCTCTTGCAGCAGCTTCATGAGGCCTTTGATGCCCATTGTCACGGCGCAGGCGGGAAGCAAACGACAGCGACTTTGACGGACGGAAGTGGGCTGGGAACGGGACTGGGCGAATGTACAATACCTGGACGCGTTGGGCCGTGTATGTGTCTGGTATCTTACGCTACCTGCGATTGTTTTTATTTTAGCGCAATTGTTCTATCCCAAACGTCAGAAAGCGTAACCCGACAAATGCAAACGACAGGCCGATCGATTGATTTAATGGCTGAACAACGATACTGCCAACCACTCACTGCGTTGTCGAGAGGGAGGTGTCAAGAAACATACTTGAGAAGCTACGTTTGCGCCACATCAAGTGATGAGTGCTGTCGTGGCATTGAACCGAAGTAAATGCGTTGACCGTGTCGCAACTTACGAGTAGTGAGGACTGACTCATCCTAGCTGATTGAAAGCTTAACTAACGCCAAGGCTATGAGGTACTATCCGAATCGATGTGACACGATATCCATACGGTGTCGCGACTAATCACTGTAAGGGACACAGCGACGCAAACCGTTGTGATACAGATCCTCTCGCTTCGACGATAATCTGGTGTCGGTTCCTCGACACATATTTTACGGTGCACAAACAAACTAAAAGTCTTGTAGCTCGACTGGTGAAGATGACCCATATCACATTGACCACATTGTATCAACAGCCAGCTGGCAAAATGGCTATTGTGCAAGATAAGTCTGTTCGAGCTAGCGAAGCGTCACCTTGACTAATCTATCTGCCTTTCTGAGGATTGAGACGACTCTAAGACCAAACCTGATTGCGACATCGCTCCCGGCATCTGCAACACACCGTCAACTATCATACCTGCACATCCAGGACAAAAGTACAATCGCGATACAACCAGTATGTAAGGGGTGGGCCCGTTGCTTGACATTGACAAAGGTCCATGCAAGTATTGTCGTGGCAGATATTAAATAATGCAGATAAAAGAAATCAATTTTGGACATGAACATATGGTGCAGAATTCGGAACTTCTGTTGATCGGTTTTGCAGATCATGTCGATGACATACAACGCACCAACTAACGCTAGACGAGCGCAACTGGTGGTGAGCAGATGGTTGTATTCATGTTTGTCTGTATAATATTTATTTGAGACAGTCATAACAATTCTTTTGCTACGATTGAGTATAGTAGTACAGTTCTCCTTTTACCCTTAACTAACAAGCACGTCAGTCGATACGCTTCCGCTGTACTTCGTATGCGCAATAGCTGAGTCACATAGCCTACACTGTTGTAAGTGTAGATTAACTTATACCGTGTGCGTCTTAATCGCGGGTGCCCGTTGCACCTAGTAGCTTTGCCTAGTTCGTCCAACGATCACGGACTCATCCACCATGGAAGTGGTGGGTGACGATAGTTTTCGCGGCACGCGTGAAGGCCTTATTCATTCTTCGTCAACCTAGAAAAATGCCTATCAGAATTCACATAGTAAAGAGTGAAAACTTACAGTTGGTCACATAAACCGCATTTCATCATCGTGTAAAAATCCATGCGACATCAGTTCGTAGTTGAAGGATAAGCGACGCGTGCCTTGTTAAGTCATCCCATGTTCGTAAATGTCTGGAAGCCTTTCCTTTAGACTTGTGGGTATATTGAAAAATTTGATCTGTTGTAGATTGAATCGTTTGTCGCTTAAGATCACGACGAGAAGCTTTGTGAGCCGGTTGGCGCTTAGAGTTTTGACCTTTAGTTTTTAAATTAGCTGATTTTTTGAGTAGTGGTTCGGGCACGCACTAATTGGCTTTTTAAGTCTTAGTTTATTAGCTGAATGGCTCGTTCGGCTCAAGTTTTCCTATGAAAAGGAGTTGTCATATCTCCACTACGCAAGGTAGCACTCGACGTCATCTACACCTGGGCCTCGCAGATCAGCATCCGTGAGGTTTGAGCAGCTCGCTTACCTCTCTGAGGCCTGAACAGTCTTGCTGTCGAGTTTCCTCGATGTTATGGGCTTTTATCGCAGGCGTCAGACGTGATCTCTCACGTCTTCTACATTTAATTAGTATGATTAAGCCGTAAAAGTGCAGGTCCACGACAAAGTACAGTCGGCTTGTCCAACACTCTTTTATCATGTACCAGACGAAGATGCTTAGCCTCCTCCGCTCGAGCTGAGCATTAGCATTTACGTCAAAAAGGAGGAAGATAATCTTACCATCTATATTCGAGAGGTAAAATGGACATGAAATCTGACATGCTCGGTATGGAACATCAGCATGTATTACTGGCCTTCTTTAAGCTTGACTTAAGAGTTATATGATAGGCACTATTGTGTGGCTCGTCAGTTGACGCTGCAATTACCACATGTAAATTACGAAAGATAAAGCTCCCCCCGCCCCCCGCGAATATTTGCTCCCTTTAAGAAGGAGCATCGCGCGCATTCAAGCCTTTTATTGGCCCTTTATAGCATGAATCTGACATTTTACTTCCACGAACAAGACCTATCATTAGCGATAATCAGATCTACCGGCTTCTAGACAAATTTTATGTTAATATAGTAATGGAAGGTCTTCGTACTCATTTTCAGGAATAAAATCATTGTTTCTATGTATCTGTCGTGAAGAGGCGACACGAATAGGATAAACGCAATTTTCAGTTTTATATCGGCTAGTATTACATATAAAGGGTATTCCGCATATTGAATCAGCGCATTGGGATCTCGTTATCTTGTACGGTGATGGAGAAGTTGGTAAAATGGACCTTGTGTACTGAATACCCGTACCTGTAGCTATCTCTCTGGTTTACTTGATCTAGAATGTGGATCGCGTCGATTCCTAATCGTTCCTGAAAAGGTGATATCGGTGGTTTAATAGAAGGCTTTATACCTCAGCTTCCTTGAGCCGATCTGAGACTATGCGCTGTACCGGTAGATCCGCTTCACTTTCGCGGTAATTCATACAAACATCAAGATGTACACGTCAAAATAGACGGTTGATGACCCCGATCGAAGAAATGTGGTGATCGATAATTGATGGAAGTCGACTCAATTTCGATCGGCATTTCAATTTGGACCATCGAGCATATGCTGATGGCTGTGATGTCGGGGCACGACGGTGGTATGGATATGCACCGGTGATGATATCGCTGATGACCCTAGCATTCACGTTGATATAATTCAAGAAGAACCAAGCATGGTTACGACCATCTGGTGGGATGAACATTGACAATAGACCGTGGAGGTCGAGCTGGGATAATGGGTAACATACAGGCCGCTAAACTTCCGGTGGAAGTACATCGGCATATGAATGCCGTCTGAATGCCTAATTGGAATGATGGGTGCGCAATACCGTGTCGCCTGAATGAAGACTACTCGTCGAAGGATCGATCAATCTCCAACACCGCAGTGTCTGAGTATGCGATCAGCCAGGTTCTTTATAGAAGATGAATGAGCGTATGATGGAGCGATCTAGTGACATGGAATGTACTTGACAGTGACATGGGAAGGTATCTCTAAAAGGCCATACCAAAAGATCCGGCGGAATTGGTATAAAGGGAAGCCGAAGATTGATCTGTATATATGGATAATTGTGCAAAATACATGGGTATTTGTCCCGTATTTGGTACATACCCAATATTTGGATACTCGTTCGATACTATTTGGATACTGTTTGAATACTGTTTGATACTGTTTGGGTATTGATTCAATACTGTATGGATACTGTCTGGATACTGTTTGGATACTGGCGTCAAAATTAAAGTATGAGACACGATCTTTCGACACGTGGTCCAATGACGTGATATTTTGGATACCAGTTCAAGGATGATGATATTACAAGATTAACATCCGACTAAGCTGATTCTGCAATATGTGAAATGCATAGATATAGGTCCGATAGTAATTTGGTTGATTAATATAGTTTTTGTAGCCGAGCTACACAGCTCTTTAATTCAGAGGAATACTTTAACGATCAATGAGCAACTTTGGTTCTACGAACCCGACTCAAAGAGTCAACAGCTCAGAGAGCTAAGGTTTGGTTCAAATAACCCGACTCAAAGAGTCAACAAGCTCAGATGGCTTAAGGTCTCTGTTCCAGGGGGACCAAACGATTCAGAGAATCAACGCACAGAGTTCACAAGGAGTAGCTGCCTTAACAGGCGTTGCTATCTCCTCAACGATAACAAGACGCCTCAAAGAGGCATGTGTCTATCGGATCAAAATGGGAATTGAACTCTATTTCTTCTTTTAACCTAAAAGAACACCTTAGAACAACGTAATTAACCTACTCGCTAATGTCCCGAATAAACCTCTCAAAAGATCTCGTAATCAATGGTTGACAGACATCAGTCTTCATCATTGATACTGTGTTCTAATATCACTTTAAAGGGGACCCCATCCCTTGTGTGCACCACACCTATTGTCGACTGCCAGTCGACGTGTAACCCCGCTACAGTTTTACTTGCACGTTTCTATCAACGACGCGCGGTTCTTCTCTCCGGTAAGCATTTCTTTGACTTCCCGACAACTGAGTGTACGCGATCAAGGTTCAAGAATAACCTGATCTTTGGGGTGTTTGGTTAAAATTAACAAGAGCTCTCACAAGCAAAACCGAGCTGCGATTGGACGCAGGTGCAAGTACTGGAAGATGAAGATCGACGATACATATCTCGCCTCCAAGTGGTATTGCAAGGGTGCTCTAAAGGTTCAAGTCCAAGAAAGCGAAAGGAAGAAGTGAATGGGGGGGGGGGGAAATTCAAGCTGACAAGCTTACATACGCCAATCTAGTCGGATAATAAGACCGATTTATATCGATAAACAAGATCGAAAAATCGATCGAGAAGATTCGAGAATAAGAGATGGATCAAGTGGTACGAAGATCGTTCCGAGTAGATGTAAGACAAGATCAAATGTGATTAAGTATCTACGAAGGTAGATCGACGGGTCTAAGACGAGATTGCTCATATAAACTCGAGGGGTGAGAATTTTAGCGGAGCCATCGCCTCAGCCGAACCCTAACCTCATACAAATTTTGACATCTCTCAAGACGTTACA